CGAGGTGACCGAAATGTGGGGGGTGGTGTCCACCGAAATCATTCCAATCGTTATGTCGGTGAACGGTCTTATCCCAACCAGTCTGGAACAACATCTCAGACGGTTGGGATTCCGGGGCGGTTCACTCCCGGGAAAGATGCAGAAAGCGGTGCTGTTAGATTCTGCCCGCATTGTACGCCGGTTTCTGTCCCTGGGGCCCTGAACCCCGGCCGACTGTGCTTCTGCCGGGGGTATGTTGCCATCTCCTCTCCTTAAGAGGGGAGATGAGAATTTTTGGGAAAAAAAAAAAAAAATAATAATAATCATCTCAGGACAAATCACACAGCGCCATCTAGACCCAAGTTAAGCTAGCTAAAGCTTGTGTTATGGGTACTAGATAACTGATACAAATACATAGATATTTTTTTTTGTAAATACATACATATTATATATAGAAAACACCCAGACCGATACAAACAATCATACTCATGAATACAAATGTTTGTGCCGTGCGAGGAATCGAACCCGCGACCATCGGTCGTAAAGCGGTGTACTAGACTGCTGGACCACCGAGGTCGTCAATGATTGACCGTTCCAGCATATATGTTTTTTTAAGCAACTAGTTTCGTAAACAAGTACGACTACGCTAATCACGACTGATTTACTCTTATTGGCGGCCTCGGTGGTCTAGCGGTTTAGCACGCTGCTTTACTTCCGATGGTCGCAGGTTTGATTCCTCGCGGTGCAAGCATTTGTATTCATAAGTAATTTGAATGACTGAAAGTACGACCTTTCAGTCATTCAAAGTTTGACTGGAAGAAATCCCTCATTTGGGATAAGCCCGCCATTGTATAACTTTTTTTTAAAGATTGTTGTATCTTTAGTTAATTTAAATATATTTACTGTACAATAAAGTGTTACAAACAAATAACAAACTGTTTGTATCGGTCTGGTTGTGTTCTATGATCATAATACATATGAATCATTATTATCTATGTGTGTATTGTGTATGTATTTACAAAAAAAAATCGAAGTATTTATATCTGTTGTTTAGTACTAATAACACAAGCTCTGATCACCGTGGGATTAGATAGCGCTGAGTTAATTTCCTGGGTTATTTATTTATGATTATTATTTATTTAGTTACTCAACCAGTTACTATTTTGACTCAAATATCTTCTACTCGTAATTGCAGCTTTGTATAAATATAATAAATCTAAACTAATATAAAAATAGATTTTTAATAGATATAATAAAACAAAATAAAAAAATTGAAAAATAAAAATTTTAATTAAAAAAAAACCACCCTCTCGTACGAAGCCGGGGCTGCCGTCATCAATCGTTAAGAATACAGTGTTTAAAGCTCGTAAAGCTCGCAAAACAAGAAAGCAAAGCTTTTGTACTGTTCAATATCTTTGTGCAAGTTTGACGTTTACATCTCTGTTTGTTTCTATACAAATAAATACAAATTATTAAACAAAATATACTTGACTTTGTTTAGACGTATCCAAAGTGCGTTGGAAATTATTAACCTCATGATTATTTGAATCACTTATATTCAAATTTAAATTAAAAAATCATTTATTCATGTAGGACATTTTAGCTACGTATGAACGTCATATATTTATATATTATAATTTTTTGCCTATCGTATAACGCACATTTATATAATAAAAACGAAATTGAATTAGTTTTAAGGGTAGAAATGTAGGTCATGTCTGGTTGACCTCGACGCAGTTCCCTCTGGAAACCATCGTGGTAAATTGGAAATAGAAATAGTAATAATCTTTATTCAAATAAACTCAATACATGCACTTTTGAATAGTAATATTTTTGATCCTACCACTCAATCCGAAAGCAGATTCATCACAAGAACAATGGGCAAGAAACCTGTGTGTTGCTCTTTTGAATAGATGTCTTTTTTATATAAATAATTACAAAATAACAAGTAAGAGGCATGTGATAATCAACATAGAAAACGCTACGTACCCATTTCTTAGTTCCATCAGATAATATTGTCAGCGCTATAAATTTTAAGTTTTTCTACAAAACATTATTATCGTTAACGCACTCTTAAATTCGTTAACGATAATAATGTTTTATTTGCAATTGGCCATTGGCAAATGCCAATTTGCATTGCATTGATGGACTAGCTGACCTGAGTACTAGTGCGCCAGCGTAAATCGTTAGGTTACGTAAGGATGCACCATTTCATTATCATGCATTAAAAAAAATACTAAGGTTTTTATAGCATACGACAAACGACCTTGCGGCTCAACTGATGGACACTTTTTTGAGAACGTCATTTTTAAGTCGGTTACATGCAGCTGGTCTAAGAAACCACTAACGATTCTAATTCTAAACCCTAATCCGTATTCCACTAACGATGGTAATTAACATTACTTATATCGTAAAACACTTTAGTGGTACACGTGTTTTCCGCACCGTTGGCAAATTTTCCAGTACTCAAACACGGATCCCATTCTAGATTAATGTTCTGGATATCTAGCTCAGGGACAGACTTACAAGCGTAATTCACTTTACTGTGTTGCCATAAAATGCAGCTCTTTATATTTTAGAGGTTTGACAATAAAATTACGGGCGATTTGCGGTTACGGCACTAGTCTTCATTACATAGTAAAAAACAAAGTCGCTGTCGCTGTCTATCCATCCCTATGTATGCTTAAATCTTTAAAACTACGCAACGGATTTTGAAGCGATTTTTTTCAATAGATAGAGTGATTCAAGTGGTTCATACATATACACCCGGGCGATGCCGGGATCGCTAGTTAAGTACTCTTACAACATAATCTTCAGTTAAGTAGACGGATACTAAACAAGTCGCAGGTTTTGAATTGGAAATGTAAAGTTACAATGATTATTTAAAAGAGCAACACGCAAGTTTCTTTCTCGTTCTTCTTGTGATGAGATATCCGAATGAGTGATAGATTAAAAGAACCGTAACTATGACTATTCAGAAGTGCTTAAATTAAGTTTATTTGAATAAATCATTTTTTATTCTATTATATTTTATACTGGTACAAGTGAATAAGGTGCAATAAAGATAGCTTCGGCACAGATTCAAAATCACTACGATCCAGATTAAAATCTGACGCAAGAAATGCTGAAACGAAGTGCAGAAGCCGATGATCGACGCGGCTGCAAATAGCAGTAAAATAAAATCCATTTGTAATTGCGCTCCAGAAATGTGCATTTGGAATAAATGTTTGTTTGCCATCTTTTTGTTGTTTGCAATTATTTTGGATGTTTATGACTTTCGCTTTTTTAAAAGGTCCGGCCGTATGACATTATATTTGCCGGTTTGGTTGATTCATTCAATAATTTGTTTAAAAAGAAATACATAAAATTTTTGTAGATTATATATATGTAATAGCACTTTCTATGTTGATTCTCGGATGTCGGATCTCGGAATCTCGGATTTCTCGTCCTTGTTACTATGTATTTACTAAAAAAAAAAACACTTATTTAAAAGAAGAATACGCAAGTTTCTTTTTTATTCTTCTTGTGATGAGTCGCACTTCGCATGAGTGGTAAAATAAAAAAAATTGACCGATTATGACTATTCAAAACTACTCATTTTAAGTTTATTTGACTAAATATTGTTTCTATTTTTATAGGACTACGTAATATTATATTATCTGTGATAAGACTAAGAAGGTGAAGGCATTGTTATAATAACTAATTATTTTAATCTCGGCGTGTAGTTCACTCAACAATCGAAGTGTACGTGTAAGGAAGCTTTTCTGAAACCACACTGTCCACTTAGATTGAGATTGGTTCACAGCGTGTAGGTATGAATTCCTTTTCGATGGCCAGCGGTGCAATAGTAAAAGGTAGCCGTAGGCATCATGTCGAATAATTATTCAGAACAGAGTCTGTTGTACATTCAAGAGAACACACAAAGAGAGGCGAAGTCTCGCCTCAAGATGAGTGGTTGGATACCGTTTGAGAGATCGGGATGATCGACAATTCTCATAGCACGTCTCTGAACCGAGTCAAGAGCTGGAATCCAGGTGCTCAAAGATAATAGCAGTATTCCATATGCGAATAAACCTGTGACTTAGTGTCGTTGTTCATGTATAAGACAGTTTTACATTTACGTACAAAGACAGTCAGAGTTGGTGTAAAGGTCAATTGATACATATATAGACTTTAATCCACGAAACGATGACATGGACAGTTTATTTTCAGGCATTAAATTAAAGATGGACGTAACTGGTAATAATTTTGCCGATTTGCGAGACATATTATTTATTTGTTTATAAACGCATTAGTTGTAACTTTACGATATTGCAAGTGAGGAAATATGACGAAATATCAGGAGCCTGTTTTCAGTTGCGTTAATATAATTATAACGTAGAGGAATTTGACAGCTGTGAAGGTGCTACAGCAGTTTAGCACACTGCTTTACTTCCGATGTTCATGAGTATTATTATTTCTATTGGTCTGGGTGTTTTCTCACTATAATATGTATGTATATAAAAAAAATGTATCTAGACATCTTAGAGTCTGTTGTAGACATGTGCGGGCGCGGCTCTGTGTAGGCGACAGTCCTAGGGGTTCAAGTTTGCCGTTCACACAAAACGAGCTAAGATAGAGGCGTCTCTTCCACGGTGAGCGGAGGACGGGAAACTGGGAAGAGTTCCCTTCACGTGTTGAGGAGGGCCCGCTTTCAGGCAACCGTCGTCTATAGCGAACAAGAACATGCGTCCTCGGAAGATGGACTGAGATGGACGGGTCTAAACGAGGTATTTTCCCCGCGTAAAAACATAAGTTGGGTGCACCATTTCATAACCTAAACAGGAAATACTCACTGTCTCTATTTATATTCTTAACACGAATAATTTTATGGCAAATAAAGGTATTTACCTCTCTCAGTCACCTCGTGACCACGGCTAGTGCATCCTAGTCGAAACGTTGAGAGAGGTAAAAATAAAATTATTCGTGTTCAGACCCAGTTAATAATGTATATTAAACATGAAAGTTTAAAAATAACTTACTGTCTCCTTGCAGCCAGCTCGGTCTGGCCCTGTTCTACAGTCTTCTTCTCGTGCAGCACGCCGGCTGGCACCAGGCCCTGCCGCGTGCGCAGTTCTCCCCCCTGCACATCTTCCACCACCCGCACCAACCATCTGAAAATAAGAATTTTAATTCCTGAATTCATCAACAGTCTAATTCGATACTGTCATACTCCGTCATACTCGTGGACAGGTGCCTGTTTCGATAACAACGTTCACGGGTGTTAGATGGGAAAATATTCTCGAATATGGTCTAGGAAAACATCTAACAACAATCTAATGCCAAATGCATTAGATTAATTTGATTTGTTATCGGTGTTTCCATCACCGATGAGGTAATTGAAAATGAAGATTGACAATAATAATCTTGGACGATTCACACGTTTTTGCATGTCAGATTCTGCCACTTCACGATTGATCATTCTAAAAAACGTAAATAACTATTCACCTGCAAATATATCATGCGTTCATTAATTTCTTTTGAATTAAAACGCGAGGGAAACCGCGGGCTTTGACTCGTTATTAATAAGCCCTAACCCAGTGACTCGTTGACCGCATTTTTTTTAATTATCTCGTCTACAATAACGTGTATGGATCTATCTAAAAATATATCTATTTACCTGTAATAATTCATTCATTAATTTCTTTTGAATTAAAACGCGAGGGAAACCGCGGGCTTTGACTCGTTATAAATAAGCCCTAACCCAGTGACTCGTTGACCGCATTTTTTTTTATTATCTCTAACGTATATGGATCTATCTAAAAATATATCTATTTACCTGTAATAATTCATTCATTAATTTCTTTTGAATTAAAACGCAAGGGAAACCGCGGTCTTAGACTCGTTATAAATAAGCCATAACCCGGTGACTCGTTGACCGCATTTTTTTTAATTATCTCGTCTACAATAACGTATTGGCAAAGTATACACACTGCCGTCGATTGTCAGCGCAACGGAAGCTTTTAGCAGCTGTCAAAGAGATGGACCATCGGGAAGTGACGTCACAAAATGGCCACCGACTCCAGGTCAACGGACAGTCTAGACTTTTATTAATCTAGATTTTTATACCGCAATCAAAGTCAACGAGTTCATATAAACAAAATGATTAACTGTTGATATTTTATTGAATGATAATAATTAATTTAAATTAAGTAATAAATTACAATGAAAAGAACCACGGTGGTCTACCGGTTTAGCACACTTTACTTCCGATGGTCGCGGGTTCGAATCCTCACAAGGTAGCTTGTTGTACATTTGTATTCATGAGTATGATTGTTGGTATCAGTTTTGGGTGTTCTCTATGTAAAGTGTATGTATGTTTGTTGTTTGTTTTATGTATGTTCTGACTTAGTTTGGGGACTACAGATAATAGAAATATATAAAAATTATATTGTATTGTAAACATGTAATTGTTAATCTATGTAAATAAATAAATATATTTCTCTATATAAATACATAGATACTTTTTTTTTGTAAATACATAATAAGCACGACTGTTCTATTAAGAGCGTATCGAATAAGTAGAATCACTATTATCATTTTATGACGCAAACATACATGAAATATAACGGTAATAAACTATTTTATTTTATGCATATAAAATAGTAAATTTCAATATAACATATAGCCTATGTGTTATTCTGATGCATAAGCTATATTACTGTAAAGTTTCATCCAAATCCGTTCAACAGTTTTTGCGTGAAAGTGTAACAAACATCCATACTCATAAACGTTCGCGTTTATAGTATAACTAGCTACTCGCCCCGGCTTCACCTGGGTGTACATGTATTATACATATAAACCTTCCTCTAGAATCACTATCTATAAAAAAACCGCTTCAAAATCCGTTGCGTAGTTTTAAAGATTTAAGCATACATAGGGACGGACAGACAGCGACAGCGACTTTGTTTTATACTATGTAATTAAATAAAAATTTTTAAAAATAAATCAAAAAACTTCTACTTCTTACTCAGAAACTGTGCTGTGATATGTCTACACTAAATGCAAGGTAATGCAGAATATGACACTGTCTGCTAGTGTCACCAGATCATTATATGTTATTTTATATTTCAGTGTGTACTAGTGATTGATATTTATATATAGTAGTATATCGTAGCAATATATATTAAACGCTTCAAAATCCGTTGCGTAGTTTTAAAGATTTAAGCATACATAGGGACGGACAGACAGCGACAGCGACTTTGTTTTATACTATGTAATTAATATTAAGATTAAGATATATTTTGTAGAATTTTATTACATTTTGTTATTATTTATATACATTTTGTTTTGGTATGCAACCTCTTTTTTTATCAATTTCAAATTGATAAAAAAATTCATACTTATACTTTATGGAGAGGATATATAGTTTTTTTTATTGGGGGTTTTAGACTATTGTCAGGTATACCTGTGATACTGCGTCTTGCATAGATCTATCGTGATCGCCCTCAAAGTTCGCTACTTATTAGACTCGCGATGGACCAGAATTGAAGGATATTCTTAGGAGCGATGGTTTTTATCTCCTCTGGATAGAGTGTAAACTTTCCAAATGAGATATTCGTTTATGCTTGAGTGGGCTGCAACCGCAGAGTATGTGTAGTAGCGTTTCCTCTTCTGCTTGGCAAAATCTCCAAGTATACGGTCTTACCATTAGCTTGTTAAGGATGCATGTTGCTTATACATTTCTTTTAATCTCAGTACAATTCTCACAGCGCCATCAGACTTGTGTTATGGGTACTAGATAACTGATACAAATACATAGATTTATAAAAAATACATACATATTAAACATAGTAAAAATCCAGACCGATACAAACAATCATACTCATGAATACAAAATGTTTGTGCCGTGCGAGGAATCAAATCCGCCACCATCGGACATAAAGCGGTGTGCTAAACCGCTAGACCACCGAGGTTCTCATATCTTATCTGTGCTTCTTACTCGTAAGACCAAATAGAAATAGAAATAGAAATAATCTTTATTCAAATAAACTCATTACAAGCACTTTTGAATAGTCATATTTTGATTCTACCACTCATTCGGAATGCAGATTCATCACAAGAAGAATGAGCAAGAAATTTGTGTGTTGCTCTTTTTAATAGATATTTTTTTATATAAATAATTCAGTATAACAAGTAATTGGCATGCGATAATCAACATACACACAAAATACGCTGTATATATTTTTATTTTACTAGGATTTAAAATATGTTCAATTGTATCATTTGAATTTAAGACGAGGTGACCGTATTAAAATCAAATAAAGCTTACCGTGAAACACCTACGTTCAACAATAACATTTGTCATACTTATGAGACTGATCATGATCATCACGAGAGTTGGATTCTAGTAAGGTATAAATCTTTCGCGGCGCCGCGCCAGATATTGCTTTTTGAAAGAAAGAATAATTGTCACTTGTTATTTCTCGTGAAAATTAATAAATAACAGGATATGTGTTATTATTTTTCATTTAAAATTGAGGTAAGTGGGTACGTATGTAAATCACTTCATAATATAATAGTAGAGGAGTAGTTTTGTATAATATTTTGGTTGTTTATAATACTTTATTGTACAATAATATTATAATTAAAGGACAAAATTGACTTAAAAAAAAATGTGTACAATGGCGGACTTATCTCACACGAGGGATTTCTTCCAGTCAATCTTTTTCATATTTATCTAACGTTTGAACAAAAGTTGTTAATTTTTTTATACATATTTAGGTTAACAAACAGTTTCTGTTATATACAATAGTTCTGCGTAAAACACAATGTAAGGCAACATTCGAAAGGTTTCTTTATAATTATATATTGAAGCAACAACTGCTTTCCGTTATCATATACAATAGATATCAGTAATTTATTTTTTATTTTATATGTATTTTATTATATATCAAAGTACATAATAATCTTATATATAAAATTCTCGTGTCACAGTTTCGTTCCCATACTCCTCCGAAACGGCTTGACCGACAGACCTACTCTCACAAAATTTCATGAGAATATGAAATTTTGTGAGAGTAGGTCTGAGAATCGGCCAACATCTATTTTCCATCCCCCTAAATATTAGGGGTAGTCCACCCCTAAATATTTTTTTTTATTTAATGGCAAAACAACGTTTGCCGGGTCAGCTACTGTACATATAAAATTGATATATACACATATACATTAACGTTTCCTTAGCTAGTACCAGATATTCAGTACATTTACTGTCTGTACAGTAAATGTAGACCATGATTATAGATCGTGTACCATCAATCAATGAGATGAAAGGGACGATTATAGTGGTACTGTTTATAATATCTATCGACCAGTGGTACTCAAACAGTGGCATTACATCTTCGTCACTTGACGAGGTAATTTTTTTCGAAATATTCGAATACTGTAGGCCGCAGCTGGCCTTTACAGCTTCATGTAACGATAGAGACGAGTACAGATAGCACTCCAAACCCGCGGAAGGAGTTATGAAACGGCTGAAGGCCAACTCCCGCCTCAGAGAGAGAGAGTCCGCCAGACTGAAGACGTATCCATGAGGATACGTCTTCAGTCTGAGGGCACCGTTAGGGGTTCGAACCTCAGCTCAGACAGTTGTAATTTCGGGCCTCATTTGTATTTGACAAGGGATTGATTAGAGGGGAATGTGGTGGAGCTTTTAATCTTTATAGGCGGGGGATGGGGGTTGTTAGTGATGTGGACTAATAACCAGTCATCAGGGTGTTCTTCCGGGAGCACCTTTGGGTTCGGACCTCGAGCTCCCTCAGTACCCGAGCATACTGCTGGGGTGGACCACCCCAGCGTCGATCGTTTACGCCGTTAGTTGGCGAGGCCGGCTACTATTATGTAACCGGCTGAGGGAGTGGTGTGGCATGTAGGGGAAATGAATGTCGCTCGCCGGGTCGACATTACGCCGCCCTACTGTGAATGACGTGTTTCCACGATGGAGAGAAGGTCGCGCGGGAGCGCGCGAGGTGCGTCCGTTGGGCGCGCGTAGAGTGGGACGAGTCCGCGATAAATAACCAACCCCATTGTTAGGAATGTACCATGTCAGTTTGACCCTCACGAGGTTCATCCTGGAAACCATTGTGATAAATTTACGGTGGATATACCACGATAT